TCTGTGTCTCTGTCTCTCTGTCTCTCTGTCTCTCTGTCTCTCTGTCTGTCTCTCTGTCTGTCTCTCTGTTCGTGTCTCTGTCTGTCTCTCTGTCTGTCTCTCTGTCTGTCTCTCTGTCTGTCTCTCTGTCTGTCTCTCTGTCTGTCTCTCCGTCTGTCCCTTTGTCCGTCTGTGCGTCGGTCTGTCGGTCGGTCGGTCGGTCGGTCCGTCGGTCGGTCGGTCTGTCGGTCGGTCTGTCTGTCTGGCTGTCTGTCTGTCTGTCTCTGCATGTCAAAGTGTATCTGTTTGTGTGTGTGTGTGTGTGCCTGTCTCTGTGTGTCTGTGTGTGTGTGTCTCTGTGTATGCATGTGTGTGTGTGTGTGTATTTGCCTCTCTCTCTCTCTCTGTGTCTCTCTGTGTCTACGTCTCTGTGTGTGTGTGTGTCTGTGTGTGTGTGTCTCTGTGTGTCTGCATGTGTATGTGTGTGAGTTCGTACGTGTATGTGAGTGTGAGTGTGCGGGTGAGTGTGGGACTGAGACTGACGGTGAGACTGGGAGTCGCGGGGATGTGCGTGCGAGTGCCTTTACATGCGGCGGGTTCTTTGTGCTGATGAAGTCCTTGATCACCCAGGCTTTGTTGGGCAGGTGATATCCTTCCTGATATGCCCGGCTTCGGTTTCCCTTTGGCCGCAAATTTGCAGTACCCTTCAAAGGACCACGGCTGCATAACAAGCCCTTGGGAGCCTCTTAAGCCCCTGCCATCATGAATCTCGACATTCAGCAAGTGTGACCGCTTTTGTTCCGAGAGGACTACGTCTCTGCGCAGCTGTCAAATGGTTCCATCGATCGGCACTGGCACGGGCTTCATCACTGGTCCACAGAAAAACACTTTGGCTAAGGGACTGCATCAGAGGATTTACGGGATTCAGGAATTGGGCGCCTTCTCGGCGAGCATTGTGCCATGACCCGAAGACTTTTTGCGAATCCTGAGGCTATGGAACATATGACAGCATCTCCAAGCTCGGTTCAGGAGGTGATCCAGACAGAAGAGAGGCACAGCTCGGAGGCTGCTTGCAAATGGGATCTGCGAAGCATCAGGAGTTCAGAGGAACACTGAGCTTAACTCTGGCTCCGGTGAACCTTTGCAGACCTTCCTTAATTCCCAATTCACAGAAAGCATATCTAAGGTTTCTTGGACGAGTACTTGAAGCTTCGGGCAGGGACAGTGAAGACTGTGTCCATGCTGCAAGACTAGGGCTCACATCGACAAGTGGCAGACGACGTTTCGATGTGCGCTTGAGCCGCGCTTGACAAAAGGACCTCTCTCAGGATGGCACTGGAAAGAACAATGCCATATACCTATATATACCTGTTTTCTTGTTAGCCAGAGACGCGGCTCAGCCACTGAGCGCTCTTCGTGCTCGAAACTTGCCCGCTGAAGGCGTGCAGACTGTGTGCCACTGCCACCAAATTGTGGCGTCTCGATCTTTCCGAGTAGCGTCTCAGATGATATTCTATAGAAAGCAAAAGGGCAAGAAAGGCGCCGAGTCCTTGCCGAACTCTCCTTAACTGAGCTCTGAAAGCTGTCTGTGTGGCAGGGCTGGGATGTGCTTGAGGGTTGCGCTGTGTGAAGACTTTTTGGCTTTGACTTTGCAGTCGCAGAACAGTTGACTGTCCCATGCGCGGTAGCGCGAAGCGCCTCTTCGGCCGGCCAGCAGTGGGCTGCGAGATGAACTCACATCGCTACTACAGATACAACTACTCAACCCGGTTTAGGGGGGACCCAGCAGGTGAAACGCCAGCCGACCTAAGTCAAACGCTGCTGGATTCAGCAGCTTCAGGTACGGCTTGGAAACAGAGAATGTACAGTAGCAGTTTTCGTTGATAGTCTTCTGGAACGACTGCGGGCATGCTTTGGCTCGGACATCATCATCCGTACACCACCAACGCTCCATAGGAGGCCGCTGCCCGACCCCATGATGTCACATGAGGTGTCTTGGCCGTGTGGGCTAGAAACCGACCATTGTGAGCCATGGGCTGCCCCCAATCAGGTTGCTAGGCATCCACCTCATGGCGTGAGCAGCATTCACGAAGCGAAGGGAACAGACTTGTGCCATGGCCTGGCATGGAAGGTAGATGCTGTTTTTCCCGGCAAGGCTAACCAACAAGAACTGGGAGGCAGCAGCAATCCAAGTGGCGCCTGTTGCAGATGCCCAAGATGCACACCTCTGAGTTAACGGTGGCCCGTCCCTCAGCGGGAGTGGCAGGTCGATGAAGATGGAACCACTGATTCTGGGTCTTAGATGGTCCGCTGAACCCGGCACCGGTTTAGCTTCCCAATAGCAGGTGATTCAGGCAAGATCACTATGCTCCAAAAGAAATCGCTGCTGTTGATGATGCGGTCGTGCCCAGCCCTGCAGCAGAAGCCGCCAGGGCAATGAATCAAGCAGGAGGAGACCCTGATTTAACTGATTTGGTAGTTTGGCACCTGGACGAAGCGGCATGTGGAGAGCCTGTGTAAGACCCACGGCTCCTCCGGGAGGGCCGTCTGGGTGGCACGCATGCCACGCATAGGCCAGCACTTACACAGCTGAATGCAAGTAGCAGAGATTGTGTGGATTCAGGAGCTCGTCTGAACCATCTGTTGAGCGATCGCTGCTCCGGTTGGTTCTGATCCCGGCTGCCCTGGTTTTAATTGGGTTTTCAAGGGAGTTAGCACAGCAAAATTCAGCAAATTGAAGTTGCCCTTGGGTTTTCGCGGGTCTCTTAAATTGTTGCTTGTCTAGTTTGCATGTTCCGTTGACAACCGGCACGACCGGGAGCGTGTGTGTGGAAATCCGGTTTTTAAGGACAATGAGTTGGATGATGTAAAATATATTGGCTGAAGCAGATTTAAAGTCCAGGGGTTGACAGCCTATTCCGTGATGCCAGCCAACGAAGATAGCGGAATAGGCGGAAGGAGCTATGGACGCATAGCTCTGTACCCGCATCAGCTTCACCTGCCAAGATTCATACATATAATATATATATATATATATGTATATATGTATAAGAGAGAGAGAGAGAGAGATATATATATATATATATACATGTATGTATGTACATACAATTAACCTTGAGACCCAGTTCCGATGATGCAATCAGTTGAAATGCTGTGTTTGTCAAGTTTGCCATCCTGCAAAAAGTTCAAGTTTTTCAGGCTCTATAACTCTTTATGCAAGACAGTTGTGCACCACCTGCATTCGGATGTTCCGCATATGAAAGCATTGCATACCGAAGCCCTCAATTGCTCTGGAAAAAGAAGTGCATGGTAGCGGAGCACTACGGTGCTCCAAGGACCTGCTAAGCCAATAATCCCGAGGCTCGTGAGGACCCTCCTGTTTCACGAAATACTTTTCTGCTGCGTCACTGCTGTTCAATTGGCTGACGCGTGCCCGAGAGTCACTGCAGTTTGCTCTGCTGACTTTTCCTTTTTGGCTGGTGGTGGCATCAGTGCTTGTGGGCCTAGTGAGCCAGCCGGAGTAACATTTTCCTTGGTGGTGGCCTCAGTGCGTGTGGGCCTGGAGTGGCATCCGGAACGGTTTTTCTTGATAGGCTCAGTGCTTGCGTGCAGCTGGGCCCTTTGAGCAGAGCAAGAGGAGAGGAGTTTTCCTGGAGGTTCCTACTTCCGAGAGAAAGTGATCGAGCCCAATACGCTATGTCTGGTGCTGCGCCTGCGGCACAGCCAGGAGGGGCAACAGCTTCGGTGGGCCCAGAGGTGCAAGAGAGGATTGATGCTATTGTGAAGCAAAGGTTGGAGCAAGCTTTTGGCAGTGTGTTCAGCAAAGTTCTTACTGCCACAGAAAGGGCTGCAGTCGCAGCCGAGAAGCAGGCGAACGCCACGAGAACAGAGGGAATCACCAAGGCCCTCAAGATTGATGTGTGGAAGCCAGCAAACCGTGAGGAGGAGCTTCGAGGTTGGCGAGAGTGGATGTTCCAGCTTCGGACGTGGCTGGCTGCACATGATGACAAATTCGAAGAGGATATTGAAAGTCTGGATGATGACCACGAGGTCGATCATGCCCTCATTCCCCACGAGAAGGTGCAGAGGAGCCAGAAGCTTTTCGGGGTACTTTGCAGCATGCTGCGCAATCGCCCTTTGTTTCTGGTGCGCGGCTTTGAGAAGGAGAAGAATGGCCTGGAGGCGCTGCGCACCCTGCGCAAGGAGATGGAGCCGAAGGAGCGTGCGCGTTCTTTGGCGATTGTGCGGCAGCTGGCCGCGTGGACTTTCAAGGAGACAGGCTTGCATGAGCAACTCATTGCCTATGAGGACGCCATAAAGAATTACGAGGCCAGCTCTGGCAAACAGTACCCGGAGGACTTAATGATTGCCACGGTCACCACTGGGCTGAAGGAACCGCTCAAAAGCCAAGTGCAGTTGAGGATGACGGCCGCCACACGCTACAGAGACCTCCGCGAGTGGGTGCTTCAGTGGGAGGCCGTGAATTCTCCATGGTCTTCGTCGCTAGCCCCAGCAAGGACAAGCAAGCATGACAATGGAGGTCCTCAGCCCATGGATGTGGACGTGATCAAGGGCAAGAAGGGCAAGGACAAGGGCAAGAAGGGCAAAGGCAAAGGCAAGGACGGCAAGCCGAGCGGCAAAGGCAAGTCTGATTGGTACTCGCAGGGTGGTGCATGGCATGGCGGTGGCTGGCAAAACCAGCACTGGCAGGGTGGCTGGAACAACGGCCAGGAGAAAGGCGGTGGAAGAGGCCAGCCGAAGGGCAAGAACAAGGGCAAAGGACAAGGGAAGATGGGGACATGCCACACATGTGGCCAAGCCGGCCATTGGAAAAATGAGTGCCCGCAGGCTGGCAAAGGAAAAGGGGTGCGGAAGGTTGAGGCCGAGCAGGTCCCCTCGTCGGGGCAGTCAGCGGCTTCAGGAACAACGGCCACCACGAGTGCGACCGCGTACCGCACACCCAGTGTTGTTCAGCGTGTCGAGGAGGTTGCCATCACCACACCCCCAATGTGCAGGCAAACGCTTATCTTTGACATTGCGGAGGACATGGAAGAGTTTGAGCTCGAAGGGGGTGCCATCAACATGATTCAGTGTGCCCTGCCCCCTGTCCGCAATGACTTTGTTGCCGGCCACCTCGTGCCGCACTTTGCCATGGATGCCACCGATGGTGACGATTGCTGGACCCTGTGCCCTGAACTGGTAGGCCAGGAGGCGCTGGAGTCCAAGGTCGTGAGTGTCAATATGGTCCGGTCGCCCAGCAAGAGCGCAAGCAAGAGTAAGGCCGTCGATGTGGTGGTGGACTCTGGTGCTGATGTGTCAGTTGCTCCTCTTTCCTTTAGGGGCCTGGGCACCTCGAGCCCAAACAGCAACGTCATTATGCAAGATGCCCAGGGAAAGCAGATTGTGAACCACGGCTCTCGAACCCTGGAGGTGGAAATCGAGGATGTGAACGGCGAGGCCGTTGTCATCAGGGAGCGTTTCCTTTTGGCGCAAGTGAGCTCCTTGATCCTTTCGTTGGGGCGACTGTTGAGAACCGGCTGGTGCCTGGGTCACCAAACCAGCGGCCCTGTGATCTCTCGAGGGGGTTGTACTCTCCCAGTTCGGCTCAGAAGGAACACGTTGGTGATGTCAGCTGTGGTGTCAGCGATAGCGATTTTGGACAGTGGGCCAATGCCACCTCCTGCTGAAGACCTATGTGGAACTCCTGGGTGGCATGTTCTTCCTTCAGGGCTTCCTTTCCTGGTGCACCACCATACCCTTGAGGTGCCCCTAGAGTCTTGGCTGTGGAGCACAGACGACTGGTCGCATGTAGCAGTTTTTGTGCGCAAGGAGCAGGCGACCCGTGGGCCCCGACCAGGTGATGTGTGGATCCAGCTCCTTAGTATGCCAACGGATGAGTTCGAAAATTGCCCCAAGTGCCTCAGTGATCTGGAGGCAGAGCTGGAAGGGCCGCGCGATGTGGCTGTTCTTTTACATGTCACCGAGATGGGCAAGAACTTGCTTACGGAGCCCGGCGATTACTTCGAGGAAGCAACCTGGGATGATGATCCGATGGTTCCCCATGAGGGAGACGAAGGAGCAGCCCAAGCAGAGGATGATGGAGGTGGTGTCGGAGATGTGCTTGGAGAAGGCCGTGATGTGCAAGGACGCGGTGGAGATGCGGCTGGTGAAGGACCTCAGCTGGATGGTGTGGAGCTTTCTGTTGCTACGCCCCTGAAGGAGCTCAAGGCTCTGTGCGATCGCCTTGGATTGCC